AAAAAAAAAAAAAAAAAAAGAAGAAAAGAACATTTATCGGTTCTTTTTTTTTTTTTTTCTTCTTCTTCGTCTTTCTTCACATATAATTCACAATAGAAGGCAACGAGTTGATAAGCAATTAAAATTAAAAGCAGCGTCTTTTTGTCACATTATCGTAAAAGAATAAACAGCCTGAAATATATGAAGAAAATGGATCAAGTTTAAAAACATACGTTAAAGTGGTGGATATCTCTGCTGACCGATATTAATCGACATAACCAAAACAATAACAATAATAATAATCGTATATTCCTTACTCTCTCTTTTCTTCCAATTCAGGATGGGTTTCGAAGAGAACTGTCAGTGCTGACTGTCAGTGCTTTGCTTCTTTAATTTTTTTTCTTTTTTTTCTACTTTTCTCTTTTCGATTCTTTTCTTTTTTGTACATAGGAAAAACGAATATGGCAATGACACGATCGCAAGCACGGAGCAGTTTCGCAGTTTTCCGAAGCACAACCTGAGTATCTATTTCCTTTTATTATATCGTTTATCACGCATCCTTTCTTCTTTCTCCTCTTCTCTCTTCGTTTCTTTTTTTTTTTTTTTTTTTTTCATTTCCTCTTTCATCGAAAGACACGGTAAAGCCAAAAAAAAGTCAGTCTTCGGTCGACTAACCCCGTTATATAATAATATTCGGGAAACGTGCTCAGATAGTAGTAGCGAAATGCAAAATGCTTGTTTTCGTTTAGGCACGTACTTAGAATTTGTTTCGCCTATCCATCATTCTCAAATTTGCCACGGTATTTCGTTTAATACACTACTGTTTCTCAGGCACAGCCAGATATAGACGCATTCTTATTTCGCTATCACATTCGTACGTATGTGTTAAGCGATACAATTTCTATCATGTACAGTGCTTACTTTTAGATCTTTATTCTTTTCTGCTTTCTTTTTTGTTATTATCATCATCATTATTATTATTATTATTATTATTATTATTATTATTATTATTATTTATTATCATTATTATCATCATTATTACTATTATTATTACTATTATTATTATTACTATTATTATTATTATTATTATTATTATTATTATTATTATTCCTTCTCGAGTCTCATTCTCTAATGGAGCATCACACGTTGTGTCACATATAACACCTGGTAATAGCAATAGTCTCTTATATTCAAGATTAATTTCAGACGCGCTAATACAAATTACATTACACTGAAACTCTCACCAGGTATCCTAAAAAGATAACTATCTATTTATACTCGGTGTATTAATTAACTCGGTGAATAATTAAAAATCTTTATAAAGAGAAAAAAAAAGGAGGGGAGGGGGAGAAGAAATATGGAACGGATTGGAAAAAAAAAGAAAAAAAAAAAGAAGGGGAGGGAAATGATGTAGATCGATGGACCTACATGCTAATGTGATGGTCATTATGGAAAATCATTATATCAATATCAATCTTATTTGTCCAATAAATAATAATTACTTATCCCTTTTTTTATTATTCGTTTATCGTTGCCGTGTTTTCGTCGAGATTGCCTATGAAATCTGGAAATAGGATATTCCGTATTGCAAATGATATTATTCGATTACTCATATTTCAACGCTACAATGTATAAATAATACCGCTGAAACCAACACAATACTTAGTGCCTGTTTAGTAGGATGTTTATGAGAGGGGAAAAAAAAAAAAAAAAAAATGGATGGAAAGAAGAACGAAAATAGGTAAGGTCGAACAGCCTAAGTCTGTATGGTAGCACCGTTTTGTTTTTTTTTTTTTTTACGTAGAGGGTAAAAATATCTATTTACGTGTTATCCGAGATCAATTCACAATGTTGCCTTTCCGTTTGCTTCTTTGAGCAAGGACTCCTCAATCCATTTCCCAATTCTTTCCATTCCTTGATCTTCGAATCCTTTCTACTCTCTTCCTCGTTGCTTCTTTCATTCAGACGACTGATGCTCGAATGATGCTTTTCGGTCGTCGTCGATTCGATATTTGATTCATTCCTTCTTTGCTCCTTCCCCGATCTGCTGCTGCTTATGGAAATTGACGCTTTCGACGTGTCTTCTTCCTTAACCTCTGTTATCCTATCAATTTCGCTCGTGACAGATCTGATCGTTCCATCAACATTTTTCGATTTCTTTGTATCCGTAGGTGTATTATTAACATCTTCTAGCGTTTCTATATTTCGCTTTCTTTGATTTTCAATCGTCGATTTATTATTCAGTTGTACGTTCTCGGATGTGCTCGTTACATTCGACTCGATTTGACTTTCCGTTTCTATCTTATCGTTTTCTATATTTACATCCACGTAACACATTTTCGAAGCGTCTGGTGGTTGATTATCATTATTGTGACCAAGTGTATCGTAGCACGGAGTTGCACTAGGGGCATAAACATTCTCTAATTGATCATATTGGCTCATGGATTCGTTGCTTTGTTGACTGATCTCTGACATATTTCCCTCTTTAGCGTCTTCCTTTTTGAACAATTTTCTTTCATATTCCTTCAATTTCCTTCTCTCTTCATCCCTTCGTTCTTGTCTATTCAACATGTTTTTCCTCAAATCATCTTGCGATAAATCTGCTTTGGTGAACAAATGGATCGGCCGTTGGAATCCTTTTGCCGGATGGGGAGGAATCGATAATACCTCGCATTTAGAAAAACCCACTTCAGAAGATAGTAGATACTGCGTGAAATTATGTGGTCGAAACTCAATGCTTTGATAATTCTTGTATATCCGTTCCTGAAATAAGAAATAAGATTAATATATTTTTATATACAATATTATTCAATACTTATAATATATTTTTATATTTCTAATATATAAATATATTTTTATATTTCTAATTGAAATGAAATACTCACTGTGAGATTCTTTTTCTTAGTATAACTGCTCCAACCTTGAGGTTCTAATATTAATACTCCACTCGGGCGTAATTGTGCATACATACGTTTGAAAGCTTGTTTTAAACCTGCATCTCCGAAATTCAAGTGTATCCATTTAGTTATCGATAAACAAAGAATCGCATCAAATTGTGGTTGTTCTGTACATAACAAAGAATCATCCTCGAGCACGTAATTACCCTAAAAATGTATACATATTTAGATTTTTTTATAACTTAATAATTTATAAAATTTATTTAATATATTTATAAAATTTATATAATTTTTTCTAATATGATACCTGTACAAAATTAACATTGTAAGGGAAACCTTTATGACTTTTATCTTTTGTGAAACCTGGAATATCTACTGGGCCATAATTGATTGGCATAGATATTGGGAAGAAGTTTACATCCTGATGATCACTGTCTTCATTACCAGCAGGAGACTGTACACAATTGACATAATGTTTGATATTTTTTCGAGCTATATTGATAAGTGTTCTATCAATGTCAATACCAGTTACACTGCGAGCAGAGAAATCTCTTGCAACAGAAAGGGTAATGTGGCCAATATTGCAACCAATGTCTAATACATCTTTCCCAACAAATAAATGTTTTCGCTGTGCAAATACTGTCAGTCTTGTGTCCATTTCGTTATGAGAATTGCGATATCCATAATACCTATTATAATTTCCATATTGATAACGTGCATCTTTCTCCCTGAATTTGGGCATTGTTTGTTTCTTTTTCTTGTCTTGACTCGGTCTATGTTGTGGTCTAGGTTTCCATGCTCCAGGTTGAGGAATTACAGGACTGACAATTTTATCTTTGACATCCAATTTTCTTAATCTTTTATCTTTAGGTTCCTCTAAACCTTTTAAACGTAATTTATTCTTGTCTTTTTGTGGACTTTCTGGTTTTGACTCTTTAACTTGACTGGATGTATTGATTGGTGGTGAATTCAATGGTGGTTGTTGCTGTTCTGTTTCAACATTTTCTGAAACACTATGTTCCATAGGTTCTACAACATCAATACCATCACAGTCTTTAATTTTAGTTTCAATAGAATCGCTTGCATCATTTCCAGAACCAGAAGATGCTCGTTTTTTCTTTCTATTTCGTCGTTTAGAGCCCTTTTTTGTCGGTGATATAAGTTGTTTCTCATATTCGTCATTGTCATTGCAATTGCTTAAGTTCAAAGGATCACAGATATTTGGTGGAATTATGACTTCAATAACTTCTTTTTTATGCTTAGGTGTTGGTAATGGGCTAGACTTAGGTGTGACAGCATTCATAGCTCTATTTATTTCCTCATCTTGCATGCTATTTAAATTTAAAGGATCACATATGTTACCACCAAGCAGAAATTTTGTGGGTGGAATAATTGCACCTTCCTTCTTTCTACGTTTGTATGGTGGAAAAAATTTACCATTGCTAGTGAAACTTTGTAGACGTTTTCTACCAAATTTAAAATGACGACTATCCTCATGTTTATGCTTTTTATGAGAAGAGTTAAATGTTTTTCTTGATTTATCATTTTCCTTTTTAGTAATTTGACTTACTTTAGTAGTCCGATCAACTTGTGCAGATGACATTTTTGGAAATCTAAAAAATAATTAAAGACAATTAGAAATGAATGATTGTTTTTCTATCAAAAAAAAAAATTAAATATTGTAAAAAATAAGTAATTCAAAAATACAAATATAAATAATAAGTTTAAATTGCAAGATTTTAATAATAAATATTTATTGACTACTGTACACATAAATTCTACATAGTGAACAAAAACTTTCGAAATAAAATTTCGAATTGACATTATATATGTAAATATAAAAATTATCATAATAAAGATATATAATACATAAAAGAAAAGACATTACATTAAGTTGTAAATTAATTCTTCTTATCGCATACAAGAAGTGCAAATACATTATCTCATAAGAAATTATTATATAAAATCTTTTTCATATTAGGTTCATAAATTCAGAGCAATAGTAGGCTATCCAATCATTTGCTCGAAAACTCTTTACGATCATGTATACTCGGCTCTCTGCGTAAATTTATCGTTCCCGCGATCGCGCATGCGCAGATTATGGTTTATGCGTTCTGTAAACGGATGGTCGCCTGTGCCTAGAGTTTTCGTTCTGAATTTTTGTCCTTAATTGCCTTGCTAAACGTATAAACTTACCTTCAAACGTTTTGCACACTGCTTTAGTTTCACTTCGATGTACTTTTTGTTCGTATTAAGCACAAAAATCCACGTTTGTCACAAGATATGTGATGCACCCAGCTCCGAACTGTCGTTGAGCGCCCATCAACGATGGCGAATAGCTGCTTCGCTTGCTTTGCTCAAACTCCATTTTCTATGTGGGTACCCGAATGAGCCGAAGATAGCTTCGGCAATTTTCGGCAATCAAATATAATTTGATCGGAGAAAAACAAATTTTTCAAATATCATATAAACGTGAAATTCTTAAAGAATTGTAAAAATTATTGTAATTTATATATATAAATTTTCTAAAAACTATATTTTAAATATAATACCTCCGAATCATGATATATATATAATATATATATCATATATATTATATATATATACATATACACATATATTAAATTGTTTTAAGATACACACACACACACACACATGTGCGCGCACACACACATGCGCGCACACACATAGCTATAGATATATAGATGTGAAATAAACTATCATTTGTATTAATGTAAATAAACTACACATTTGTAAATATTGAATACTAATAGAAATGATGTAAGCAACTAGTTTTCTAATTTGTGTATGTATTACATATATGTAAATATAAAACGAATAATATCAAAAATATAATTCATTAATTTATTATTAAATTAAAATAATTTAATTAAAAAGTATTAATAATCTAATTATGATATTTTACATATAATTATTCTTTAAAAAATTAATTATTGTATTAATTATCATATAAAAAAAAATTAATTTAATTAATGTGAATGTGATCACGATTACTTTCATACTATGTACGAATAATAAGTGATTAATAATTAAAAATATTACTTACGTTTCACAATAAAAGTAACACAATTATATTATTTAATACATTTAAATAAGAGAAGGATACAGAAGGATACACTTTTAATATAAAATGCAATCTTTTTTCAATCTTATACATTAGGTTTATAACGGACAACAAACACGACTGACACTCTTTTGAATCGCGAACGATGGGAACAACGAATTAGAATATAACTGCGCGCGACGAAATTTCAATTAACCAATGAAAGTAATGGCGGCAATTGTAAAATTTAAAAGAATCTAGATTAATTTGTTTATCTTATTTTACCTTTCATTTAATTTTATTTAATTTTATTTTATATTATAATTATTCAATCAATTTAGATATGAATGAACAATTCAATATTGTTTAACATCGTTTATATAGATATAACATAAGTTTTATACATGTTTACGATAAATATTTTATACGTTTGTCATTTGTTAAAAAATTTTAATTTTTATTGGTTCGCGTTGCTTTGCAACAAATACCGTGCAAAATGATATGCGAACCCCATTACAAACGCGGCGGGTTCCTCATTCACTCGTAATTTTTAATCATCATCCCGCGATTTTTTTTTTGTGATAAATTAAACTGTTTTTCGTTAAAAAAATAATACTTTGATACTCTTTGGTACACAGTGTTATAGTATTAAATTAAATTTCAATCATGCATCAACCCACTCGAAACGATATCCAAGGAAGAAATTTTCTGTTTGAACGATCAGATTTGAATCGACGAACTCCCACGATACTATTTGAAAAATGGGAATTCGAGCAAGTAAATCGTTCCAATTCGTCAACAAATTTTTTGTCACAGGTACCATAATAGAATAATAATTTTTTGATAATGTATTAAAAGGTTGATAAAAAATTCACATTTATATCTATCTTTCAATAGTTCAATTTATCTCATAAACAATCGATTGAAAATATGTCTGACTCGTTTTATACCCCACCGATGGAAAAGAAAAGTATACCAACGCCGAAAGCGCCAGTAAAGTACAAAAAACAACCTAAGAAGGGAGATTTAAAGCCAAAAAAGTTGTATTACACCGATGATGAATTAGATGCTTCAAATACTATAGATAGCGGAATTCATATTCCATTTGACGAATCAAATAATACTTTGTTTCACAAACACACAACTAAATGCAATAGATTCGATTCTTCACAAAAGCAAATACGTAGATTACGCGCCAAATTAGACAGGATTAAAGTACAAGCGAACGATAAAGAAAACGATAGAAATGTTTTAGGAAACAGATCCGTGAACGTAGTGAACAACAGAAACAATGTAGCACAAGAATCTTCTGTAGGTAGGTGTATAAACAGTGAAAAGAAATGCACGCATACGTTGAAAACCAATACTGATATCAAAGAAAAATTAACACATTTTCGCGTGTAACAGTATACGTTAGCTGTTAATTTAATTATAATAAGTATGTTACTATTAAGGGAAAATTGTAATAAAATTGTATGATATAATGCTATTTTATAAACTCATAGATTTATAATAAGTAAAATTTATGGAAATTTAAAATGTGTTAGATATTTTAATGAATTTAATATTATTGAAATGGTATTTTCTTTCTTTTTTTTTTTTTTTTTTTTTTTTTGATTCTTCAGTATTCAATCCAAATGCAGAAGAATTATTTCAATATGATTTTAATTGGAAAGGAAAATTATATTGGTTACAACCTAAAAGGGATATTGGTTTATGGATTGAATGCTGCAGAAAAAATTGTAAAAAATGGAGATACGTTGAAGAATATCATGATCCACTAAGTGTACCCAAAATATGGTATTGTGAAATGAATTATGGTTTGTATATATTTTTTTTTAAATTTTATATATTTTATACATACATATATATTAATATTAATGTGTATGATCTCACAGATAAATCAATGGCATCTTGTAATATACCAGAACATCCTAACTCATTTGCCATTAAATTTAATTTAATTGAAAATGCTTATAATGCAGGTAGTATTGTTTGGGCACATATGAAAGGTTTTCCATGGTGGCCTGGAATAATAAATGATTGTCCTGATACTTTTACATATTATAAATTGCCTAAAAATTCTCTTATACCTGTAAAGTTATATTTTTTTTTTTTTTTATATAACATGATTTTTTTTAACAGAATAATAAAATATATATAATTTATAGATTAAATATTATGTTACATTCTTTAATGAAGAAAAACTTGAATGTGCTTGGATTCATAAGCGAAGTCTTAAACCATTTGCAACATATAAATATGATCAATTAATTAAAAGGGTATTTAATTCTCTAAAATTTCATCTCATTAATTTCATTATAAATAATACTAGTTGTTATTACAGACCGAATTTCATGGAATAAATTATAAACAATCCTTACAAAAAGCATATAAAGTAGCTACGAATGCTCTTTCATTATCAATATTAGAAAGGTTAAGAGAATTCAGTTTTTTGGCACAGTATGAAAAATTTTATGATATTAATGACAATTCAAATCAATTAATCAATAATATCACAAAAAGGAAAGTTTTATTAGAAATGGATACAAATTCAGATGATGAAATACCCTGTTCAAATCCCACAAAAAAGCAATACACATTGAAGGAATATTATTTAAGAATAATATGTAAAAATCAAGAGATATATTCCTATAAATAACTTTTTATAGAATTTTTGTTAGAAATAAAAAAATTATAAATATATCGATATTACAAAATAATAAAAGATTTATACTTATGTTCATAGCAATCAAATTATGTTATTCAACATAATTTCAGTTATACATTAAATACATTTATGTTATTTTCTTATGTAACTTGTAGCACTTTGTTCACGCCATAACAAATAAAAAATATATTTCGAATATTTGTTTTTATAAATTATTTCTCACATTGTTTCGTATTATGTATCAAATTATCAAAAACATAGTGTATGAATTGATGTAGATTAATTAAGTTACTTATCGACTAAAAAATTATCGGTTGAGTATCAATTCAATTTCTTAACTAATTCATTGAACAGCCACATGATGGCAGTACTGAACCGAAAGAAGCAACTTTATGATGAATATTTTAATAATAATATTGAAATAGAAAAATATTTAATTAATTATTTATTATTTTTCGATTTTCAAGATTGCCTGAAATTAATTTGGATACAATTGTTGTTTAAATTATTTTTAATCATTTATATTATTGTGATAATAGAAATTTTTACATAAAGAAATATATTTATAAACAATTAAAAAAATACAGATTTCTAAATTTTATCTCTATCATAGTTATAGTTTCATACAAATACATTTAATTCTAATATTTAAATGTTCAAATGTATTAATATAATTATGCTGAATTGTAATATTAAAAATAATATTAAATACTCAAAAAATCTCAAGATACGGGACGAAAAAGTGTATCAAATATATATTTATTTTATAATTTGTCTATTAATTAATAAAACTTCTATTATGTATGTATATATAAAATTACATTAATCGTTGATTCTATTTGTGTTTTATTAAAAAAATTTTAATTATTTGTGTAAATGTTTTCACAATTAATATATAATCGAGATTAATAACCTATTATTTATTAATACATCGGTAAGATTGACAAATTTATTAAAATATCTTGCTTTTTTTAGCAAAATAAAGCAATTATCATTACATAATAAGATTGAATAAAAAAGTTGTCAGTACCTATTATCGAAATACAATATTTTTTTTATATATTACGATGAATTGATGTGGATCATTTTTGAATAGCTATCCTCAATAATATTAAAATGAAAATGTTCGATGCAAGTTGATGATGCTGATTATTAAGCTGCCGCGTTTTTTCTTTTATAATGTTTGATTAGGAACATTCATTCTTTCAAATAGAAATTGAACGTATATAAATGTTTGTAAATCGATATGTTAATGTGGCGCAAAGTTCGGCGGAGTCGTTGGGTCAATGTGACGTCAGCGGATACGAAGACCCTCGATGTGCTGAACTGCGACAATATTTGCGTTTAAAATGTTTCTCAGTTGTGCATATGCATATAATATGATCGTAGTCACTATATTGACTTACGACAATCTTTTCATTTTTGTAAAAGACAAAATACGAATGTTTTTTTAGTAATAGATCTTTCTTATTATTTCTATGCTCTGATATGTATTCATGAATAATCATGAGATTTTTAGGTTAATAAAAAGTAAGTATATATATACATATATATAACATGAGTTCTAATGTGCTTGAATGTTTACACTTTTTTTATTGAAGACGTAAAATGATAATTTGCTTAAAGGTAATATATATTTTTTTAAATTTTATAATTAAAAAACAAAAAAAAAGAGAAAAGAGTAAGAAAAAATCATCATCAAAATAATTATCGATATTTTTTAAACATTCCAGAAAATTAAAAAGAAATCAAAAATAGAGAAGAAAAGAATAAAAGTAATGGTTGGATAGCCTGTCTGTTCCTTTCAATGACCCCTGGACCACTCTCTGATTCTTCAGAGTTAAATACTTCCCTCGGTTGGTTCCAGAATGGAGAAAAAGAAAATGATAACCCCAGATACTGTGGTGAGCATATACATGCTTGTTATCATTCTCGTAATAGTCAGACGATCGTGTTGCTAACCGAGGTATAGTCGGGTTATCTGGTCTGTTTGTCCTTCGTTACAATTTCGTTACGTTTCTTCGCGTTTTTTTTTCGCTCTTCACTTTCTAACCAGGATCGCTTATTAATTATACCTCTATCGATGTTTATTTTCATTTCTTTCATTAGTGTTAAGTGAACAAAATAAAAAAATCACAGATTTTATATGTATATATAAAATCTATTATTTCGAGCGCGTATGAAAGTTGTAACATCGATTTTAAAATTAAAATGTTAGGTTACTATGTAATGTAAAAATTATTATATAAAATAAAAATATATAATTATAAGATATATAATATTTATAAAGATACATAATTTATAGATATATAATAATTCAAATAATAAGTTTCAATATTATATCTTTAATAATTATTTTTCGAGAAGTTTCCACATCTTATTCAAATTATTCCGCTGAGTTTCAAGGTTCGATCATATTTACATACATGTATTTTTAATGCATTCTATGATTACATTAGTATTATATGAAAAGAAGCACCGTTTCTATTCAAAAAGAAGTAGAGAAATGAAAAATTATTGATATATATATAAACGATATATATTTACCATTACTAACAATTATTTTATTAATAAGTTTTTGATAAGGATATAAAAACCATATAATGTGCATTTGATTATATAATATATTTTTTGCTAATATTTTTTTATGCAGAATACAACATAATACTATTCGATCATTTCAGGTGGCAGTGCAAATGGTTTCTAATTAAAAAATCATTCGATTTGTGATCCTTTTTTGTTAAGCAAGATCGGATGACGTAAATATTCTCTTAAAATAGATAAAAATATCAGAAAATATTTTATCATACGATAAATTCGTTTTATCGATAATATTCATGAATTTTTCAAACACGTTGTTTAAATCAATTCTGTTGATGGCGCAATGTGGTATCATAACGGAGGTCTATTTTAATTACCGTTAATGAGTGTTCCCGTCATTAAAATATATTTTCTATACTAGTATATATTCAAAACGGTTGAATATGCGAAGTGACAATCATAAAGAAGAGTTTTATTGATCGTAAAGGTATATTGGTTATATTTTATGCAGTTTGGACCGAGGAAGTTGAAATGGAACTCGTCTTTCTAGCGATCGTTTCATGCCAACACGCTTAGGAACCATCGTATTACAATAGCACATGTAGTTGACAAACATGGGAGCGGCATATTGGGTCGATGGCAAAAAGAATAAAAAAAAAAAAAGGAGGAAGGACATAGAAGCTGGGATATAGCGAGAAAACGGATATATATTACTGACTCGACCTTTCTACCTTGTCTACATGTATTTCACTCGCTTTATATCTAGGTGTGGCTTATGTATTCCTTTACCTCTGTGAACTATCGCATTTCCGGTATAATCCCCCGTTCGGGAGAGTATAACAGTGTTGGACTTGGAAAATTAACGTTGGATTGAAATTTCTTTCTTGAAATCTATTTTTTTTTTTTTTTTAAAGATTGAAATTCCTTTATAATATGTTATTTTATTTTCGAAATTTAGTTTCAAAATATGCATAATATTCGAAAATATTCAACTTTCTCCAGAATTCTAATCGACAAAATCTTTTGCAGGGTAAACGAGAATTTAACGAGTCTGAAGAGAATGTTAAGGTTATGATCATGCATAGTAAAAATTTGTTAAGGTTATGATCATGCATAGTAAAAGTAAAAATTTTAAGGAAAACTGTGCTCTACAAAAGACATCTGCTATATAGGGTTATGTTTAATCGATATGAACAATCGAAGAAGGAGAGGCTAGGAGGGAAATTATTCTGGACGTTCTTCGCTTTTGCATAATTTCATGGTTCCTGACCTCGCAACCGACCAAGCGAAAACTAATAACGATGCTCTGGTATAACGCCATTTCTAAATACGCATATACGACTCTGGTAAAGCTTCCTCTGACTAAATGTGACTTTAACGAGCAGCATGAAGAACGGGGAACGACCTGCGCGCGGATTCGGGCGCGGTCAATGCCGTCTAGATGCTTGCTATTACTATCCGGACCGTCTGATATTTTCGTCATGGCCTACTAATACACTCCGCAAATTCTCGCCCTACCACGGGGGTCACTGTTCGAGGATGACGTGGTCAAGGAAATATGCCGATCGTGAGTAGTGTCACTGACCGTGATGGCGAATTTCTTCACTTTTTATTCTTTGAAAACGAGCCAACCGAGAGACTGTTGCATTCTCGGTCCCCTGCTATAGATTCCGGAGATATGCTCGGAGAGAAGAATCTATACTATCAGTTTTGAACAATCGGTTGTAAGCAGTTGGTGTTATTATATACGGCATGCAGTAGTGAAATTCTAGAATAAATTTTTGAAAAGGAAAGACCGTGATTGACAATTGTTTTTTTTTCAGGTTGATTCGTGAACACGTTCTTCAATGTTTACTTAGATGGAACTTCGAATTTTCTAAGTTGAGATGAAGAAAGCAGCGTATACTTGCGATGCGTTTAACGGGTAACCGGGTACATAATGGTCGTGGCTAAATATTCAAACAGTTTGGCCTTCCATATATTCATGACCGTCATCTTCGTGAAGAAAAAGAAAAGGTAGATGGATTTGCATTTGAATGATGGAACGATTTGTGGGACAAGAAGTTTTTTCAATATACTGCTTTCCGGTAGTATACGTGTTGACCATCGACTCTGGCCGCCATTTTTAGGAAAATTGCTTTTAACGTGTTTCACGGCATAAAGGTGCGGTCACGATTTATTCAAAATTACGTTGTCTGTAGTTGGAAATCATCCTTTATTATGAAATACTATTAGCATATAGTATTGAGAACGTAATGAAATTAAGTGTTTACGTCATCTTCTTACTTTTAGGATTATGTACAAAAAAACATACAAAAAATTAAAATTTATAGTACTTTTTTTTACTTCAAAAAAGTATTATCTATATCTAGCGGGTTAAGAGATAACGGTTCTAAAGTTAATTTTTTATTTCATAATGAAAAATTCGTTTTCCATTCGCATCTCATCACAACTATCGACATAGTCCTGACATGATGCAATATGAACTATGTGTACCCATTTCTCCACGCATCGAGACATTATCTGTTCAACTCATTATCGATAGAATGCCACTTTCGCCCTATTTCATAAGACCAGGCATCATTAGTTTTAAGCGCGATAAAATTTTTTGAATTTGGGACATGAAAAAACACAGGGTCATTAGGTCGTTCTGCATCGATAAGATATTACCAACATGGAATATAAGTGCACTGGTTACATAAATGGTACAACGGTGAACGGGATGAGATTTTCATTCCAACGACAAGTTATATTACACGGAGTAGACGATGTAAATCATTGTTGTAATGGATCGAACGTTCCATTATCACGCAATCGAGATAAGAATTCTGTCGCAATCACTCGTGTTCATGATACATATTGATTAATTAAGTGATCATTATTACATTACTTTTACTTGCGACTACTTTTCCGTTTCTTCAAAATACCATATAATATTTACAACGGGAGTTTATAAGGTAAAAAAAGATACGTAAATGGCCTGTAACGCGAAGCGTTATCATCCTTGAACTCGGTGACGAAGCATTTTGTGCTAACGTGTCGTAAAATACAGCGATACGAGTGTATTAACTACTTTACGTTACTTTCTATGAATAGCGAGTTAATTGAATAGTTACAATACTTAATGATGAATTCGTATATTTCTTGTGAAATGTATCGTTCAAATTGCACTCGATTATGTACATCAAATATAATCATTATCTTTCGTTGATTAAAATTCAATTATAACGAGTAAATTGTATTTGTTAAATATAAATATTATGTATCTCCAATAGATAATAATCCATAATTACAGCAAAGAAATTAATTAACAATATATCAGTAGCAATGAACGAATGCAATCATCTTCCCTACTTGTCACCTGCATCATTCACGGGGTGCGTTAAGCCGCATCCCCGCTCCTGCGATATCGCGCAAGCCCCACTCCCCACCATGCTTCCGTCGCTCGGTGGAACGAACGCACTCATACGCACGTCGTCTATCCCCACCACACGGCGGCACGATGGAAACGCGCATTCGTGACTGGCCGGAGTTCTCGCCAACCTCCGCGCAGCTTAGTTCGCGCCGCTCGTTCCACCAGTTTGGAAGTTCGTTTGTGTCGAGTTGCTTGGCAGTTCGTTTAGTTTCGTGGATGACGATCATTCCGTTGGTGAACGGAGTTACTTTAATCGCGATCGTCGTTCCTAATCGTTTGTTTTCACTTCGTGAATTTTAAGAGTTTATTGAATCCATTATTAAATCCATTCGTGGTCAGAATTCGACGAAGAAACGAGGAATACGCGTCGACGAATGAAGTCAGTTCGCTTGCATCCTCTCGCACATGCGTTGGCGAAAGAGGAAGGAAGTCTACTCTCATTCGCGTCTCTCCATTTGTTCCCACTCTTTTCGGTTCATCAGTTTTTGCTTAGCTTGAAATGCTTTTCTGCATCTTCCGTCATCATATCCTCCTCCTTTATATTCGTTTTCAATCGTGTGCCATGCTTCCGTCTGACAGTGCGGTTTTCGGGCTTGCGCGACACGAAAGTATAATCCTTTCTTATCCTGTGCGATTCTCAGTGATCTGCGAATCTCCTGACAAATCTATTTCTTTGAGCCTTCTCGTTAGCATAAAGGATGGCGGCGACAAGTCATCGTGCACTTTAGTCGAGAGTGCGTCACATCTTATATCTGGAATGGTGCACTGGTCTTCCTCTACGCCCTCTTCGTTTTACTTCCACTAAAGGATCGATCGAAGACCTTGTAAGGATTTGGTGAAGTCGATATCCACGATGATAACCACATATTATTGGAAAAATCTTGAACATTCTGCGCATGGTGAGTGTAAATTTTATTTTAAATTTAAAGCTTTCTTTTATTTTTTTTGCTTACAGATATTAATTTACAAGATTTCATTATATTTAAAATATATATGTTTATATATATTTAGTCATAAAACTTTTACGGTTTCATATATTTTTAAAAAATATAAATTTCATTCTTTAAAAAATCGTTTTGAAACATGATGATTTATCGATAGTCACGTCCTGCCGGAACGATCGTAGGATTATATAACGCGCGTAATTTGAACATGGATACCACGTGCCCACTTGTGTTACTATTTTTACTTCTTTTTATTATTTCTTTTTTTATTCGTTTAAATGTTCAATTAAAATTAAAAATTATTTTTCCTATGATTTAATTATATATTATATTTTTTTTCATATTTTTTAAAATTGTATATTATCGGTTAAAACAGTTGAGTCGATTCGAACACAAGGAATGTTGAAAGTGGGTAGGCGGGTATCGTTAGACGGACACACCCATTGGTCAAGCTCATCGTCATCCGCATGTTTCGCGTAGTTTAATTAAATTAAACGCTGTAGTGGTTTTCTAAGATCATTCGGTGTCGCTCCATATTTGGCCGCGCGTCTAAGAAGCACATTTTACCCTCGGTGGACTCGTGTTTCGATATTTTTTCCTCTGTTTCTTTCCCTACCAATTATTCGAGCATGATCTGGTCAAGTTATTATTAGATTCGTTTCGGTTGGGATCGGTAGAATAAGAAGGGGGAACATTATCGAGAGGACCATGACTGGACTTTGCGTGTCACGCTATTCAATACGTATCACGAGTTTTTTTAAATAATTTTAAAAATGTATCCTTTATTTTAACATAATACATGATTAAATTTTAAAATACTTCAATAACAAAAATTTAAAAAAAATTAAAATTTCATGAATTCTATTTTGATTAAATGAAACAAATTCCATAAAAAAAATCTATAAATTGTTGAAAAATTTTAATATTTAAAATAAAATGTTAAATATATCAAATTATTTCAAACATTACAAATGTAATAGAATCAAGAGTGTCTCGTCACATGCACGCCCTTGTCCTGCCGGATGAAACGGACGTTCGACACCAGAGTGCGTTGCGTCTTGTATAGCAACGCGTATAATATGCATGTGAACGCGTGTGCGAATAGTCTGGCGCCAGCAGGTGCAGTTAAATATAGCTTATGCAACGGGTATCCTCCTTTCTCTTTCTCTTTTTTCTTTTCTTTATCTCACCCTTTCCTCTATTCTCTTCTTCCCATTTCATAAGAAACCGTATCTGAACAAATAGAAAGAAATAAAAGATATTTTCCACCCTTCGAACGATTCCATGAATTCAGATTATTGAGTTATTGAGAAAGTGTATATTTCTCGCGTGCGCAGCAAATTAATCCAAACACCTTGTTTATATCTAATCGCGTAGAGGAAGTACATATTACGTATTATAATAAGTCGATACTCTATCTTGTTTTCTATGATTACAACAAGAATGGAAAAAAGAACCGTGGAATCGAACGTTCTCGAGTAACATGAGAATAGGATATGATTACACGTGTGTGTCAACGGACCTTAAAAATGGGCAATTATTTTATCTTATTTATATATTTTTGAAGCTTATATCATTTTTAAATTATAATACTTCTAAATCTTTCAATTTATCCTTTTTTTCTTATTTTTAATGAAAAATGGATTATAATAACTTTCTGTTTCATTGATGTCTCGAATATATGAAAATTTATTTATATTCCTGATAGCATCAATTAAATTTAACGATAGCCCATGAAAGTATTTTGTCGTATCGCGGAATAGCGTATCGAGTTTTCGTGTCCCTTTTCTGCGAGCATAGAATGTTGTTCCTTCTTAGCTGAACCAGACCAGCCATCTTTAAGAAAAAAAAAAAAAAAAAAGAACAGATTAATGTTCATTATGGATATTAGCCTTCGGCCATTTGCATAAAGGCGGAGACAGTTGATACAACTGGTCGTGCGATAACGAGCGATGGATGGCATGACTGGTTACGAGAATTTTTTTATTTTTTTCTTCCCCTTCATTTCGTTTTTATCTTTTTTTCTTCTATTCGCAAGCGTGAGCACATGCGTATGATCAATAAAAGAAAATTAAAATTTCTTCTCGTTTCGTATTTTATTTTGTTGTTGCCCCTTTTTTTTGATGGACATTCTTGATTTTTTAAGCTTTTTAAAAATTGCGAATTTCAAAAGTTTTCAATTTCAATGGATGAATTTTAAATGACTTGTTTCGAATAATTTTAAATCCAGACGTTATGTTAGTCGTATGAAAAAGCAGCCTCGATGTCGTTACATTATTTCGTGTATCTCTATGAGAGGGGGAAATGATATTTCGTAGAGAGAAAAATTTCTACTTAAGTTGCAAACCATGAGTCGCTTCATAAAACCGGTTACCAGATACACGGAAATGTAAATTCACTGAAGAAGCGGCTCTGAATACTATGAAAAAAAAAAAAGAGAGAGAGAGAGAGAGAAAGAGAAAGAGAGAAAAACAAGTTGCTTATATTGAATGCAACCTCTTCATGCGTATAACCATGAAAATAATATATATATATATATATTAAATAAAATCGAAAAAATATTAAAATTAATTAATATATTAAAAGAAAATGTCTATTTCATTTTATTATTATACTTTTTTATTATATTTATTACGCTATGTATAATATTTGTGAGAAATAGATTAGCAATTAAAAATATATAAATAGTTTGTGGTAGTATGAAAACTTTGTAAACGCGCCTTGATGCAATGTAACGGTTATAAGCGCAAGTGTTTCATTGCGTTGATAATACGGCTGAAGTCGGATTGTACATATGTATATAAGTATACCAATGGCGTATTGGAAGTATTAAAAAATTGGTGACATTGGTTGTGGACAATCGACCTCGACTCCGTAGTATTCTGTGACAACACCTGCATATAAACTCGCGTATTATTCGTTTTAAATATTAAAATTATCTGTAAGTATTCGAATAAGAAAAAGTAAAATGTGAATGGATGCTTGGAAAAGAATAGGAGAAAATGAGAGAAGTGGTTGCGTGCACATAAGCGTCGATATCTACATCGTTAAAACAAACTATATTTATTTCAAATCGAATACGTCACGTTAAAGAAAAAAAAAATAAAAAAATAAAGAAGCAATTACAAGCAACATGTAGCAACTATTTTTTTTCTTTCTTTTATTATTAGCATGTGTTTGGAGCAATCTATAATTATGTAAGTACGTAAACTTTGGTATGTATTGAAAAGTGCAAGCAGCAATAATGGTTTCGACATTACATTACATAAAAAAGAGAAAGTTTGAAAGTTATTGAAAAAAAAAGCGAGAGAAAAAAGGATAGAAAAACTCGCATGATTTTATCCCATGTACAAAAGTCTTGCGACGCCTATGCGTATGGGGAAAAGAGGGTGGAGAGAGGAGGTAAGAGGCAGACGAAGCACAGCGAGATGCCTTAGGATCGAGTCTCTCCCTGACGGCGTTTATTTATTGCCAGTATTAATACCAAGCCCCGCAGAGTCGGTTGGTGATTACATAAAACATGCTTGCCACTCCTACCATCGGAGGCAACCCCCTCATCTCCACCCTGGTCGCCTTCTATCTGGAGGATGCTATCTCCTGCGGTAATGGGGCTTGGCAAACGAATCTATTCGAAAAAGAAAGAAAAACGCCGAGAAACATTCGATTTATTCCATGTGGAAAAAGAGGCACAATCGTCGTAATCGCATAGTTTGAATTTTACAATCGATACCTTCTATATATTGAACTTGATCTAAACATGAAATGTAGTTTAAAAGTCTATACTATGGATTAATCATAGATATTTTTGGTGAGAATTTGCAATTATTCGCGATTATGTTGCTTTTATT